TCGGTCGGCAAAATTTTTCAGGTGTCATGGATGACAGAAGGAGAAAATTGAGTACAACAAAATAATAATAAGAAGGATGACCTAGGAAGAAGGGGTTGCATTCGAAATAACGATTGCCACCAAGCTCCACCCTGGCTTCAAAGGTAGGCATTGGAAGAATGGTCATGGAAGAATTAGTAAATGGAATGGATGGAAGAATGAAAGAATGGTATTTGTAAGAATGGCTGTCAAGTTCGCAAGCCTGTTTGGTCAAAAGGTTAAGCGCAACAATAGGAAGACATGGTGCTATGCTGCGTCCCCAAAAGAATTGGCCATCAGGAAAATATCTCATGCACACCGTTTTGTATTTGTTTGGGTCATGACTTCACGAAAGCAAAAAGCACGAGGAAGGAATAGGATTGATCTCTGGCTTCTACGAAAGATCAGTCCTACAAGCCTCATCGATAAGAAATTGGCTAGCAATTAGAAATCTTCGGAAAGAAGTCATTCGAGAAACTATTTAATACACCTGCTCAGAGAGATAAACTTGGTCTCATGAGGAAAAGCTCCGGATTTTCCTGTTGCGGCTCTAGAAAACCACACAAGTCTAGAAAGAATCAGTGCAGAGTATTTTGATAAAAGACAACTGACCACAGCAAAGTTCAAATTTTGAGAGATATGAAACGCCGCCGTCACTTGCAACCAGCGGTGGTGGTTGCGGTTGGTGTCAGACGCGCAAAAGTCGGACACGCACACACAGCAGATGGCTAAGCTATGCAGTAATACTCTGCTGAGCTCCTCTGGATGTCGACTCTTTACAGCAGCATGCCAGACAGGATTTATGAACGCCGTCAGGAGACATGGTTGCGGTGAAAATCAGAAATATCTCTGGGCACAAGTGGTTGGTTGACTGGCTGGCGGCCCGATTACCCTCATTGATTAACACGGTGATCTTTAGCGGAGTTCGTCCGCGCCAGCAGAATAATGTGGCCTATTATGAAACAAACTGCGATTCACTGCAGCCGTGAAGGTTTTGATTAAAGTGGCTGCTATAAAATTATTTTCTGAGATTCGATTAGGCTCGAACGATTGCTGGGTGAATTTCAACCAGCAGTCGCTGGAGATTCGGCGATTTCTGGAAGGGTGGGGTGGGGGAGGGAGCAAGCAAACCAGCCCTTTTAGCGTATGCTGAATGTTAGTAAAAGGATGGGTCCTCGCACGACGGACCACTTCAACTCGGTCCTTAAAACCGCCTCAATTTGATGTTTACCTCAGGCCTAAGCCTTAAAGAGAGGACGGGACCTGGAGAGAGCGCGCCTCTCTCCAAGGCTTAGTCCTGGGGTAAGCAAACCAGCCCTTTGGCGGAGCTGCTGGACCTAGCTGCACCACTTCGTCATCACTCTCCTACCGTACCGACCGAGTTCAAGTAGTCCGTCGACCTCGGGGACCCCATCCCCTCCCCAACATTCAGCATACGGCCCCAGCAGAAACGCCAAAAGGGCTGGTTTGCTTACCTCGTGGAAAGGATCGTGCATTTGGTAAAGTGGGCATTCATTTCGGGCAAAGGTAGAAAGGTACTCTAAGGCATCGAGGTATGCTTTCATTTGCTAGCAGAAAGATCTAACTCAAGCCACTTTCTAGTTTTCGGTCGATGGTTTACTTACAACGTCCGCGCGGAAATCGATTGATGCTAAAGCATCGAAGTGACATAACGATATTATGTACCAAGTTACTGTAGTAATGAGTTCTCAGTATTTATGAATTCCGGAAAAATCTAGCTACTAAAGAAAGGAGATGGTCCAGGTGGGTAAACTACTGGGCCCAGACCGAGTTTCGCAGCCCAGTCAGCTAAAATCGGCCACTGTTTAAAAAGTTCATTTATACCAGGCAGAGTTCTTCACGATCGACTCGAGTTTTTTGTTAACAGTAGCATTTATCAGCAGCTACGTAATCCAATGTAATCCCTCTAAGTTCCCAAAGAAAGGCGTAAAAACAAGTTAGCCTTATCGTAATTAAGAGCTTGTAATTAGTTAAATCCACTACAATACAGCTACAGTACCTCTCTACTGGATCGCCTTATGACGTGTGCTGGTTCTGTGCCTCGCATGTCATCCAAAACTTCCGCTGCTCGTGGACAACGATGAAGACATTGAAGAAGACATGGGCGAGACCTGGAAACGATTTTTTTGCTGTGGGCGTAAACGAAGAATTCGAAGGGTCTAAATCTCAGTTCTACAATCTAAAAACTGCAAAAATTTCAAAATTATTTTTGAAAAGAATTATTTAAATTGAAAAATTATTTAAAAAAAAATTCAATATAATTAGAAATTCCTATTTCGGTCGAAATCCAAAAGATGTTTCCATCAAGCAATGAGTTTCTGATTGACGATATAATTCGATTTGAATTTTATCCTTTTAATTTTCGGATTTTTTTTCGGCACAAAATTTCCAATCACAATTCACAGTTGATTCATAGATTTGTAAATATAAGGGCGAGGGTGCATAGTGCAAAGTGGGGCCGTTCACCTTGCGCGCGGTGCGCCAGTCAACTCTCGGATCGAATCCCCATTCAAGCCTCCCACCCCATCGGGTATGGTTATTTGCACCCAACTTGCACCGCAGGATAAAGTCACTGATTTGTAGTATATTGGTTGGCCTCACGATTCTTTGTAGTTCGAGTCAGAAATGCATTCATATTCTACTACGACTCCATATGAAAGTAGAAGGCGTGGCGCATCTTAAAAAGGTTTGGCTAATACCCAAACCTTTTCCTTTTTCATATTATCCGCCGACGCAACTTGTTCTTCCGCAGCATACAAATGTTTTCAGTCAATCTATCTCTAGCTGTGGTCACTTGATGTATCGTCGTTGTGACACAATTCATGCAATCTTACACAAATGTCGTCGGTACCACAATAAACGGCGACTCTTTGACCACACTTAGGAACAGCTGTCGCGGCTGTCATAAACGTGGGACATCTGTAATACATGGCCGAGGGTGTCATATAGCTGCAGTTGAAATTCTAGAAGTTTCTAGATTGATGCTTCCTTGGATAGATGATCGTCACTTTTCGTAAAGGTGAGGTTCGGAATTATAGGGATGAACTGGAGGATAAAATCACTGATTTGTAGTACATAGGTTGGCCTCACGATTCTTCGTAGTTCGAGTCAGAATGCATTCATATTCTACTACGACTCCATATGAAAGTAAAATGTTTAGTTTTGTTGACTGTTTTGCTGCGTAGTTCGGTGTTATGCGAAAATTATCACAATTGTGCTGAATTGTGGGTAGAATATTTCGTCTGGTCCAGACTTGAACCCGCGCCACGGGCTTATCGGATAGGAGCACTGCATGCTTTTGGGCACAATCGGAAGATACGTGGGCATGCTCCAGGACCAGTCCAATAGGGACAGGAATATCAGGGGAATAAAATAAATTGCTCTTGCAATCTGGATCCACTTTTTCTTCTCCCAGCTTTTACGCGATTCGAAACGCAGTCCCACTACCATGCCTCAGTACTATTTAAGGCATCCACCCAAGATGAGGTCGTGTCGAAAATCTATTCTGTGGATGGGATAGAGTAGCAAGTACATATCACAGATGTGCCGTTGTCGCGGCTCGAAAGTGCGCGACAATGGCGCTAGGCCTTACAAAGTGAGCTTATGGCGACCAATGTGAACTTATGGACGAGATACCTCGCGCTCATCCCATGATACGCCGCTTGGATTACGGCGTAGCGGCTAACCCAAATACGCGGTTAGTGGAGCCGCGTAGAGCAAGTTCAGGAAACTCCTCCGGCCCGCCATCCTTTTTCAAGAGGGGAGAGAGGGAATACTTGTAATGGCTTCTCGGCGGTTTGCTCTGGTTTTTTTTCATTTTCAGGCAGTTCGGCATCACAATTTCATTATCGACAGCTGTCACCCCACCAGTTTGATCTGGGGTTGTTGTTTTGACAAATGAGGTGTTCATTCGACAAACTAACGTCTATATTAGCGTCTCTAAACTCACTTCCAAAGCTCGACGAACTGCCTGAAGATAGGCGATCTCGCTTTCCACACTTGTGCTTCTTCTAGGTGTACCATTTTCCACAGGTGGAAGAGGAGGAGGCCTAAAAAGAATAGGTAGATATCTCCAGTGATCGAGATTCCTTCTAAATTAGTAAACATATCAATGAAATCAGCTTACAAGGTCTTCTTAGCACGTTTGATCTTCAGTCGTACTCGGCTGATGTTCACGTCAGGCACGAACCTTAACTAGCCATATTTGGTGCTGAGTGACGTTGGCAAGTACGTCACCCCATAGTCAAAGGACCCCCTTTCAGTTAAGACGACATACCCCCCATGTATAGACAAAGATGTGCTATGGGGGTTCAAATATGAGACTGAGGCTTAAATTACCAGACAATTATTGGACGAACTGAGATGACGGTCAGCCTGGACGCTCTGAAGAAGGGTTCCATTCAAAACTGGTCTAGCCCATTGCACTGTCTATGGAGGGATGCATGTTCCTGCGAGACTCCGACAGCGAGGGGATGGGAAGGATGAAACGTAGACACTAGCTTGGCATCGGTTTCGAGATATGCATTTTGCATAAGGAGGGAGGGGCTCGGGAGCGGTTAAAAGCCCTCGCTACGGGGCATGATAAATGGGCACGAATGTTGGCTTGTGTGATCTATCCGCCAGCACCCGTCCCAATCGCCGGCATAAGTCGTGATTGCGTGCACAGGTATGGAATATGAGCCAACCATGTGAAAAACATTACCGCTGACATACATCACAAATCTCTACCATTCCAAACTCTGTGTTACCATTCAAGGACACTGGAGCACTAGATAATTACTGGAGAATATTCTCTCTGCTTCCAACCCTATCGAGTGAGCTCGCTACTTCTGTCCGCCTCGTCAGGGCTTTATAGGTTGTACAAGGTAGGCAGCCGTCTCTTTATGAAAATTAGTACATATCTACCGGATGTAAAACGACGTACCTGAGCTCCGAAATGTGTTGCTTTCCTGCTCAGCTCCTTAGTACAGACCGCTTGTTTCATGGTAGTCGCTTTGCACGACAGCGACGCTGACGCCGAGGATTTTCTGGAATACATCCATCTAACTACTCTGATGTGGTTCTACAGTATGCTTGTGGCTACGGTAACTCACTGATTGATACACAAAAACGAAATTTTTACGAATTATCAAAGAATTACGTACTTCTTTTGTGTGATCATCTTCTGTGTGTCAGCTGTATGGACTTTCTTGAACAGGAATGACTATACGGACTTTCGTCACCAATGGCTTTCTCTCGCGTATCTTCCTGCGGATGTTTGTAGGCCACACTTAAACAGAATTATCGATTGTTTGAAATTTAGTAAACCTGGATATCTTTTATGAGAAAACATGAAGTTGTTCCTTACAAAATGGGCTGCACCAAAATAACTGCCACGCCCTCGCTACGAGATGCCTGCGATCGGAAAAATAGCCGATGTCTGAAAAGCCAGCCTTTAGTTCAAGGTGGAATGTTTGAGCGTTTTATTCTTCTCCCTACTGTACAACGGGCTGGGGCGCATGTCCACTGTGGACGCGGTACCCGACAGGAGGCCGGTCGGCCGCGCAACAAAAACAGGCGTCAGCGACGGAGTCGCAGCGCGTACATGACTGGTAGAGATTTCCGCTGTTCATTCCACTCCAATATAAATGTCACCATATAGTCCTACATCACACATAACGCGATGCGACTCATGCGACGGCTGCCTCTTGCCGCGGCGCACGGCTTCTGTGGTACCAGTTTACTCGAACAAGGCGCTATGCAATATAGAAGCGTACGCGACGGGGCAAAGTGCTTGATTTGGTCCTCAAGTTGTTGCTTTTTACAGGCTTGGCACATAGTATATAGCATTTCCAATAAGTATAGAATGTTTGGTCAGATGTGGCAGGATTCAATCTCAAAGATTCTGTAGATGCAATGCAGCGCCTATGGTCACTGCGATAAATTGCCCTCAGTATATTGGGAGGGATCTCACATTAGTAATCCAAGGATTCGGTAACTGCATGCGTTATAAACGCCGTAGAGACTCGTTCGTTGAGTTCCTAGGGTAAGCTTTGATCGTACTGCAACGATGAGAGGAGGGTGGAGCAGTGGTACTGTGCACTGCAGTGCGGGGATCATTAAGGGCTCAAATTCTAAACTGAAGATCGAGCAATTCAAATCGTTTGTCGCTCTTTGGTGAGTGAGAAATGATAGGTCAAAGCAAGCATTTTCATATTGATTAGTTCAAGTAAAGTTTTTAATGAAACTCTCCGAAATAGATTTTCTATAGGAAACACTGAGCATGTTAGTGTACCACTCATCATCGCTAAGTTAATTTGAAATGGGTTGCCTTTCCAGCGTGAATTCGTCCTTTAATTTAATGTGAAAACATATAAATAATACACAAATGCCATTACCTGAACCTTTTCCTCTTTAAGCACTGCTGGCTTCGACGACACTTTCAGCCCTTTAAGCTCGACCTCTTTCTTTGGTGGCAATTCTGGTGAAATGCCGGCCTTCTCTTCCTTGATCTCTTTCGGCTCAACAACAGCAATCGTCTCATTCTTCCTCTGAGGTGGCGGCGTTTTCTTCTCGATTCTCACCACAGGCGCTTCAAACTTCTTGCCCTCCTTCTTGTTCTCCTCAACCACCTTTTTCGATTTTTCTTCCACTTTCTCGTCTTTCGTTATACCAGAGAACTGAAATTATCACATTAAGATTTCATTGAACATGAATGGCCTTAATGGCACATTCCGCGATTACCTGGTAGTGTTGGATTGCAGTGCCCTAGTACTAACGACCACTGTGCTTTTTTCTGCTGATTGGTCAGCTCCTCCCATGATACAGGAAAGAGGAGGAGCTAACCAATAAGAACTTGAAACGATCTCCACCCACACAACAAGGAAGTTACCAGACTTCGCTAACAATAGCTAGCTAACCGCGCGATTTGCTAGCGATTGGTCGCAAAGTCTGACACGTACCTGGGGGGGGTATGTCATTTTCAGGGTTCTTGTGGTATCTTTGATAACGCTATTCCCTAACTGCCTCAATTCCTGGCCCAAAAATCAGGCAATCGCGGAATGCCCCTTTGAACGAATCACTCTATGTACCTGAGTACCTAAAGCGAGTATCTGAAGTAAAACTAGCGTCTCAAAATTCCCACCAATTTCTTAAGCATCGATGGGCCATTCTTCTTCTTCGGTTGCTTTTCTTCTGCGGTTTCTTTAATTACCTTAACCTCCTTCTTGTCGTTCTCGATGGGTGCCGCCGTAATGATGGGCTTCTTCGGTTCTGGTTTCTTCACAACTGGCGTCCTTGGCGCCCTGAGGCGCTTAATGGCAGTCTCACGTGGACGAACCTTCCACACTTGTGTCACGGCTGCTTGATTGGGCTCCCTGGAACGACTTCACCTCACTCGTGGTGCATTTCTATTCACTGGTCTCCTATGGGGGATCTCACCTAACAAGGCGTTTATTCTTGCTGATAAACTCGTCAGCACCTTCCACTTTCCACAAACCAGGCACCGGTGCGATTCGTTTCACTTTAGGCTGAAAAATTGCTCTTTGCTTGGCTGTAAATATTACAAATACTTGCAAGGGTCTCATTGACGCGTAAGGAACGTTGCGCGCCCAACGCATCACTCACGCGCGCGGTTGCTATGCGGTTCGTCCTAAGTGAAACAATACTATCTAGAACAGTGAAAACAGCCACTTATTCTACTCGTTTCTCAATTAAATTCAATACTGTTTATGTGCATCATCATACGTAGTCAGCCGCACCGCAGCCGCTCGCGTCGGTCATATAAAGAGCACGCAAACGCAAATCTACGAATAAGAAGAGCGTGGACATTGCGCTTTGAACATTTTTTATTCATTCGTATGAAGATAGAACAACAAGATAATTTTGCGAATCCTTCTAGCCCTGAGAAAATACTCTTCTTCTTAGAGTAATAAGCTTACAAATTCATACTATTCATAGAATAATCTCATTCACTTCATTCTGATGGGCCTGCTATGAAAAAATGAAAGTACCCAAAAACAAGTACCTTATTCGGCTTGAAGTGAACGACGGCGCTGTACTGCGATTCATCATCGATAATGCTCGACGCATCAGTTCCCGACTGAAATAGCCCAGTTTATGGATTAGGTATTACAGAAGGGGAGATTTCAGACTGGTCGATCATGCTTCTGTAGGACTCAGAAAGTAGTGCTTCAACCGGTTTTTCCGCCTTATTGCATTCACCAAACAATAATGTGGGCATGGCTTCGCAGTTCCCATCAAACCAACGCGGATGAGTTGTCCGCTGTTGTTTTAGGAGACATTTTTCGCACTACAAGGGGAAATTTCGGGTTTCATTCGGCTTCGTAAGAGAAGGAAGCTTCGGGGCGAGTATCGAAGCGGAGGGAAGATGGTACACGCTCCTCGGGGATTTCTTCCTTCTGCAAAGTTGGGATAGCTGTAGACGGCAGCAATACCACGCCATACCACATACCCCACCCCTCCCCCGCTTATTGGATGAGACCCAGAGTTTCCGTGAGGTCAGCAACTCTACTAGCAATTGCAATACAGCATAGAAACATCGAATGATATATTGAAGAGACAACTCGTCCGCACGTGGGTGGAGTTGAATCTGATGCTGCGAATCTTAATAGAACGCTCACTATGTGCGCTCCGGTCTCAAAGGTTCTGCTCACGATGCCAAGACGTTCACCGTCTTTATTACTGGAAGGATTAATCTGACAATAAGATAACTAAACTATCATTATTCTAATGAGTTGCAGGAACTAAGAAAAGGTTACGTCAAGTATTAGTCAAGTGTGAAGTGTCGTTTCAAGAGAAGTAGTGTTACTGTGATAAATCTTCTAAACAAAAGATGATCCTTGCGATTAAAGGAGGAATTCACGATAAGAACGAAGGTCAAAGAAGGGGAAAATTGCATAGTTGGGAGACAGGCGGACCTCCTGAGGGTGCTGACCGACGCGCAATTGGCAGCGAAAGATTTGACCTCGGCGATCTAGCATGGCTCACTCTTGGCGCGGTTGGCGGGGTACGCCCACCGACTATCTAATCACTCGCCGCAGGTCTATACGTGGCGAGTGATTAGATAGCAGAGAGAGCGTAGTGTTGAAGAGGGCACAGCGATGAGAGTCGCATCAATGCGCAAATCAACGGGCAGGAAAGGGGTCCCATTTCTCGGGTTTCGGGCCGTTTCAAATGGTTTCTTCTTCATCCCTGCTCCACTGACCACCTCTACCCTTATTTCCAATGAGCTAACTTTTCATCGTAAACTCTGCCTTCAATTGATGTGCTCTGGACTACTAACACATGTATGTGGATGTCACAGAACTTTATCCATTCAAAACGGAGCACGGGTCACGGTTACGCTAACACTACAACACGCGTCAGAAGACTCTGCGCGACTTATGGCCGAGTGCGGTAGCCCATAATCGCCGCGCGCGGCAAACCTAGACGCGGTATGGTGAGTCATCACATTTCTCCGCGCGCGGTGAGGTGATTGTACTCAGCGGCTGAGCAATCGCGACACCGATGTAGCCGGTTGCTGGAAGATGGCCGAGTGGGGCATGTCGTTATTGATCCGTACAGTTTGCGTCAGGCGCGCCATGGCGATTGTATAATAGCTGCTTCTGACATCCACCTGACCTAACGATTACACAGAGAAACCCTCTTAACTCCTTATTTTCTGATTGAATTTATCGATATGCGATTGATAGAAAGTATAAACAGCTGAGCGAAATCGACCTAACACCACTCACCTCCTCACTGTCTGTAAAACCGTCTAAACTGCCGCTATCGTTAGACTGAAATGAAAGCAAATGTGTTAAGTAGTGCAAAAAGTAAGTGTGCATCTATGAAGTTGAATAACTATACAAATTACTAAAAAATCTAGTAAACCCAAAAAATGTGAATAGAAAAGAAAATCCTATAAGAATCGTGCATTCATTTCAATCATTTATGTCTATTAACAGTACTGATAATACTAAACATCTGTAACTATATTATTGCTAAGTAGCCACTACAAGTGGGAGGCGAAAATGTTACCTCATGAGATTAAAGCAACAGTCCCAGCAGGGTGGGCGTGGTCGGAAACGACTGCAATCCCCTCGGCCGATTCCGACCACGCCCACTTCAGCTCCCTCCCTAGCGGCTTTCCAAGGTGAGTTTTTGTTCAGTCACACTTCTTACGTTCTTGACTAGGGGCTGAACAGCTCCGAAGTGGGAATCGGCCGAGGGGATTGCAGCCGTTTCCGACCACGCCCACCCTGCTGGGACTGTTGCTTTAAGTCCAGTTGGAGTTGCTCGAGAAGCTATGCGTGTCGGCGAGCAGACGTTCGCGCCTCACATTTCTCCTTGGCTGATGTATCGCGATTCCTTAGCCTGCCTGTACACACCAATGAAGATGGCTTTTGCGTGTGCTCCAGCAGCCTGCACATAACCAACAGTGCGCAATTTTGCTACAAATCCCTGACCGTTCTTAGCTTTAGGTTTATTAGGAAATAACCTTGAGGTGGCGGTTGTGGTGGTGCAACGACCGGTGCCTTGGCATTCTTCATTGGCGAATTCTTCCACACTGTTCGCCCTGCTGTTTTTCAGTGTCGCATCGCTTTTCGTCGCCAAACTCAAGTCCTCAGACGTAGGACGCATTGCCTAGAACTCAGAAATTCGCCAGATCAAGGTTTAGAAAGAGGTACTTGAATAGTTGCCAAAGTTGTTGTTAGCAGCACACGCCAAGTGCTTGTTGTTTCAGTCGGAGAATATCTGCGCTGTTCGATTGAATGTCTTGTTGATGTATCTACATGGTTAAATACAATAGTTGGATTAAGCAAATTACACCGGACGAAATTTTTGATCACTTCGCATAAGGTGGGTACGCCAATGAACTAATGTCCACACGGACGAGTCGTACACGATCGTTAGCGATGTAACAGCGACCTGCAGAATCAGATCCACAGGTCATATGAGGTCCAACTCTGGCCACTATTGTTCCAGCTCTTATCGGAGTCTTTGCCGAGTTAAAGCCACAAATCAAGCCAATTCGTAGCGTTAGCTAGCGAAGCAGTGAGTGTCTATGGCTCTCAAAGCAAGCGGTAAAGGTTCCCACAGTTACCTTGCAAACGCTGCTTAACAACATACGGTTGCGTAGCTAAGTTGTTGATCTTGAAGAATTTTGGAGGTGACATGGTCTTCATGACGCTCCTTGGAATCTCGGGTCTAGCCCCTGGTGGTGGTGGAGAAGGGTTAGCTGTAATGGCTCCCGGTGGCGCCGACAGTCTAGTCAAATCAGGTCTTGGTGACACCGATGGACTTGCCACCACCGAGGTGACCATACATCCGGAGATTGGCGCTGAAACGGACCGCGATGACGGGTATGTGAAGCCGACTGAAACCGGGCCACATGGCACCGATGACTCAGCTAAACTCAGCTCCCAGTAGTTACACAAAAACATTCTTCAAGGTTCTTCAAAAGAGATTTGTACATAATTTTTTACTGATCGCATAACTTAGTAGCAACTTTGATAATCTCAATAAAATTCAACTTCAATTATTCTTTTATTTTTTCGCTTCCATTCAATATAAGGTCTAATGAGGCCAGATGTACAGAAAAACTGGAGTCTCTCATAGATGGTAGCTTCCGGTATGGGTGGCTTGACTGCAAGCTCCTACAGTCCCGCCCTTAACC